GGAAAGCACAAGGTCTGCTCAATTCTTTGGAAAGACAGAGGTGCGCATTTTTAAGGAATGGGTTGTTGATGCCAAATGTATTGGGGTCACCACACTTGACCCACTCCCCAGTGTCTGCAGATTCATGCTTGGCATGCAATAAGCCAATACCACACGTTCAGGACAGAGACTTGTTTATTCACGTCTGGGTGCTGTGTGAACTGTTCCGCAAATCAAGCACACCAATACCAGCTTTCTCGTTGCATTTCTACACAGCAATTACAAGGTAGTACACTCCCAGTTACAATGGTTGTAATGTACATATATTATTTGCTATATACAATATTTAGAAGGAATTAGTCATCCTTTTAGTCACTCCACATGCTCAGAGAAGTCTTTTTGACCTATGGTGTGAATTTTAGTATTATAATGAAGGCAGATCACTTCAGGACATCTTAAAAGTTAGTTTCATTGCCAAGTTAGGTAATGGAACGGTCACTTTGCCAAGCTGCCAAATAACCTTTAGTGTTACCAACCCTGACTGTTCTTTGATCTTTCAAACATGACTAGGATCTGGTTGTGCCCATGAGTTCCTTATTGTTTCAAGAGGGCCACTTCATCCCAGGCCCAAGATGCAATAACTATAGCTACCACTTGCAGGTGCACAATATAGCAACCAATATATTGTATCTAACTAGCTATGTAGAAAACCCCTCCAGCATCACTGTCCGGGAAGCACGCAGAGGCAAGCGGCTGCTTGTGGGTCGGGGAACCAGGGGGTGCCCACCACGGCTGCCGGAGGGACCGGGCCCCGCCAGCTCTGGCTGCTCCATGGAGAGAAGGATGGGAAGCACCGAGAGCCCAGGACAGGCAAGGAAGGAGAGTTTCTAAACCACGCTTCCGTGCACGCCGAGACTCCCTGCCCGGAACATGAAGCTCGATCCCCGTTAAAAGCAGGGACCAGACCCGTGCCGATGCAGTGGGGGAAGCCGGACCTTTTAAATCCCGGCGCCTGTGGTGGCTACGGGAAATGCTGGCGGAAAGGAAGAAGAAGAGAGACCCACAGTAAGAGCTGAAACCCCTGAACTCATGTAGCCGCAGCGCT